CTCTCTCTCTCTCTCTCTCTCTCTCTCTCTCTCTCTCTCTCTCTCTCTCTCTCTCTCTCTCTCTCTCTCTCTCCCCTCTTGTTCTTAGTAATATTTAATGTTTCCGATCTCTAGTTACCCTTCTTTTATACCTTTATTCCTTCGTTTCTCTTGTACTTGGCTTTTTTTTTGTTTATTGTCGTTTTTCATTAATTAATTATTTTGTTAATTACCTTTTATTTTTGCCGTCTTCCCTTTTGCTATCGTTTATCATTCTCATTTTCTCCTTTGATTTTTTTAGTAAATTTTTTGGGGACTTTCTCTGGTGTTCTTTCTTTTTTAGGAACCCCAGTGTTCCCTACTTATTAATTATCGGATATGTATTAAATCTGGTCAAAAGTCAAATTAAATTGAAAAAATAATTCAAATTTAACGGTTGATAAGCAGAGAATACCGATGTTCCTAAAAAAAAGAACACTAGAGAAATTCCCAATTTCTTGTTGGTTCTCGGTTTTTGATCTCGTTTATTCTTTATTCTGAAACATGAAGGGGGGTGAGAAGAAAAAGATTGGTTTGTAAATTTCAATATCATCACCTTTTTTTTTTTTATGTTCTCTCAATAGTAGGCAAAAAAAAAAAAAAAAAAAAAGAGGAACTGCATAATGCAAAGTTGAAACCAACTTATAACCAACACCTATATATAATAGCTAGATATGTAGTTCTGTACTATAAATAGCTAGAGAGAACCTTTCCGACTTTTTAACAAAACCCTTCTGTCCGAAAGAGTAATGAAACGAATTAATCATTCACTTTGATCAAGGAAATGACCAAATTTGTGTACTTGGTAGCAGACTTTGCTAAATAATCGCTCACCAAATCCTGGTATCTCCGAAACAAATCGTCCATTATTTCTTTTCGGAAATGGGATTCCAACATAGACTCAACCACCGCTCTTACAGTCTTCGCCACTCGCTGCCCTCTCGCACTATATAGCGCTTCAAGTGTGTCGTACATGCAATATTCTTCAGTAGAACCACCGTCCCAATCTACTGGGAGAGCTTCCAATCTTTCAACAATGAAAGACCCTTCCTTCTCTACCTCCAACTTCAGTTCTTCCGGGCACGGAGCGTAATACGGCGCATTAAAGTTGTCAACCTTTTCTTCATTCACTAAACCCTGCAATAATATTGATTGATAGGAGTTACCGTGTGATATTCCGAAATTTCTCTTATAAGCTTAAGTTAATTGTAAAGATATGAGCTAATTCCAGGTCGATTTGTTTAAGTTATCGATGTTATTGGTTTTAGTTAGAGATTTTCTACCTAATTGTAAAGGAATATAATTGGAAAAGTAATAAGATTGAAAAGAAAAGTGAATAATAATTGGAATTAGAATATTCATTGATTCCATTTACTTGTTCTTATGTAATGAGAAACAATCCAAATGCATTTAGTATTTACTAAACTTAGGAATAGCAAGCTTATTAATATAATTTCTAAAATGCCTTTTTACATAATCAAATATTCAAGGCATCATTACCAAGAGGGACATGAGTACTGAAAGCCCATTTATATTATGTGGGGCTCACTAAACTTTAACTATTGATTTTATAAGTAAAACATGTATTCAGATAAGAAAAGAAAATCACTCCTTAACTTTTCTTTCTTTTCTCGCGAAAAATTAGGACGTGAAAAATTATGAATGTACCTCAGAAACCATGCTCATCAGTGCAAGGGCTAAGAGCTCCCACTGATAGCAACCATCATCTATGGTGGGGTCAGAAGAGGTCCTGCCCAAGAAGGACAAGACCATGCGTCCTCCGTCTACTATTTCTACGGAGCGAGACCTCAGAAACAGAGAAAAATCCTCTTGAAATTGCTTTGAGTATGCGTCCAACACACACTGTGGGCTGCTTTTCGATATGTAAATCTTTCCCTTGTTTAACACCGTTTTGGCGTTGCTCTCCAGCCCTGGGGGAACCTGTAGACATCATATGGAAGCTTCTTGTTAAATAGCATCCATGTATATATAGACCATCGTACATATTCTTTTCTTGTTATAGTAATTAACAGTACAAAATCTAACAAAAGAACGACTACGAATATGTAGCCCTAGCTAATATGTATTCCACAAATGAAGAAAAATTTCTTATATTAATACGAAAATTAGTACTAGAAACCTGAGAAAGCCAATGAAGACTGGAAGAAGAATGCGCAAAATGCAAGCTGTTCCTTGGGAACAATCTACCGTAAAAAGACCCCGGCACACCGGAGATAAAGCACGGTCCATTAAATTGGGTACCATCGACGTCGTCCTTTATTCTGTTGTAGAAAGCTGGCAACAACGCGAAAATGTTATTGAAGTCGTTGTTGAAAAGGTCGTTTAAGCAGAGTGTGAGCTCCGGTGATGAGCGGCCGAGGCTGCAGCATTTGGCTTGTATAGTATGGATTATGTCGGAAATAACTATCAATGTGTTTGTTCCGGACGAGCAACCCAAGTCTGCTATTCCCATGCTCTCCGGTGTGCTTCCCTCTAAACATTTCAGAATGGCTTCCTCTATCACTGGCTTTGCTATGGAGATTATATTGCTCTATAACAATTAATTTTAAGGATGTAAATGAGACGGGAGAACGAAAATTATATAGACATCATACTTATAAACATCACAAAATATAAATGGGCGTATATATTTTAATAGACAATTCAAGTTTGTGCATAGTACATTTTAAAAATTAATTATAAAGGATGAGTGACAACCTGAACAGTGGAGTTTTTAGCGTAACTGTTTTCGCCAGCACCTTTGTTCATGTGAAGTATTTGTGCCACTTCCATGGTCTCTTTTCGCTGATCTCGCTAATTTATACACCCCCTTAAAAACTTAGTACTACTGCGCGCGTGTGTGTGTAGAGAGAGAGGGAGAGAAAGAGAGAGAGAGAGTGTGTGTGTAATATAGAGAGAGAATTTATGAACTCAGAACTTCACCTATGAAGAGCACGACAATAGCAGTACTCTATGTATAGACACTAGGGGGTGTATTTGGTTGGAAATGAAATGTAATTCAAGTTTGATATTTAGATGGATTTGTAAGAAAGAATAGTCATCATTCCTTCCTCACATAGGAGAAACAATCATTTTAAGTTTTTTTATTTTTTTTATTTTTTTCCATAATTACCCTTCAATATTATAATATAATTAAAATATATTATATAGTAGTTATATCTTATAATATGTAATATAATATAATATACTATATATAATATATTATAACGTAATTATATCTTATAATATAATATATAATAATATAATAATATTATATAATATAATAATATAATAATATGATATAATATAACATAGTTGTAATATTTTAACAAATAATATCATAATTATATAAATAATTCTAATATAATTATTTTATTGCATAATATTATATTATAATTATATTATATAGCATTAATATAATTATGTCATTATATTAATAATAATATAATAATTAAATAATTAAATAATAATATAATCTTTTTATTTCAATATTATTATCTATTATAGTGTATTACACACGACTATATAATGTATTAATTATAATATATTTATTATATATAATATAATAATTATATATTATATTGTAATTATATAATATAATATAGTTGTAAGTTTGTATTATATTATAACTGAAATATTATTGTTTCTTATGTAATATTATAATATTTTTTATAATATCATAATTATATTGATCATTTTAATAATATTATTATATTCTATACCATAATTATATAATATATTATATAATAATAATTTTATTATATTATATTACATTTTATATATTATATTAATATATAAAATATTAATGTTATATAATATAAGGGTAATTTTATCAATATGAAAATATTCACATTCCATTCCATAGTATTCTTAAAATTACAATTAAATAAATGAATCAATTTTCTTTTTCATTCCATTATTATTACCATTCTCATTCTCATTACTATTATCATTCTCTCACTGCAACCAAACGCACCCCAGGGGAAAGAGAGAGAGAGCATTTATAAATAAAGAGGAGTCAGCTGTGTTAGGATTTTATTAGTTGGCATGTTTTAGAAATTGGATGTCAAAATTCAAAAACATGTGCAATTGGCAATTGGTGCTTTTGAGCATATCATAAAGAGATTTTGTCTGATTAATTGTTTCATATTTAGAATGTGTTGAACAAGGAAAGCAGACTTGGTCAAGGCAATGTCAAGAAGAATTGAGGAGATTTGATTGCTATATGAAATCATGGTGATATCTGCAGATTTGATGTGAAAATTATTTGAGAGAAGAATATTATATTGATTGATTTAATGAGTTGATTGTGTTTTGGGTATGTGAGGATTGATTATTGGAGACTTACCTCGCATGGTGTGGACGTGAAAGTGCAAGCAAAAGGCAAGCTTGGAAATGCAGGCTTGGATGTTTAATTAGGTTTGAAAGTATCCTTACTTTATGCGAATTATATCTAAAGCAATCTTGAAGATTAGTTTCCGAAAGAGCAGGTTTCGTGGAAATAATATGCAATCCGTTTTAGGAGATGATGTACGTGGCTGGATTTGATTTTGACTATATATCCTTGAGATTACTTGCCTTTATCTCTTAGTTTTTGATATATATCATTTAAAGTCCAAATCGTACTGGACTTTCTAAAAAGACCAAGAGACAGATGACTACCGCCTATATATTCATGGGATATATACGTGAATGGTGTGTGCCTTTGAAAAAAATAATATTGAGCTTTTATGTTTTAAGGTTTTAATGTAATTGAAGGTCATATTTGGGACAATGAGTTTTACAGAGATAATTTTATAAAAGAGTCTGTGAATTTAGTGAGCCTTCAGAGTTTATTCAAGATCGTTCTTCAGGAGAAGAATTGGAAGCTTTTAAAATGAAGTACACTGCCAGTCGAAAGGAGTTCGCCACGCAATTTAAAGACAAGTGGTGCTCACTGAACAATGCTACTAAGAAGATTCATCATAACGCCGACATCATCAAGGAGGGAGGCTTTGAATATATAAGACCGATAAGTGTTTGTAATCATTCTATCAACCGAACTGCGATATCATTTTCTGGTGTTCTTTATTTTTTCAGCATTATTTTCTGCACGTTTAGTTATTTGTTGTTGAATCCAGAAATAACTATTAATCACTAGTGTTATTGAAAGTGTTATAACGCTCTTTGTAATACATGCATAAAAAATAGACCTTACAAGCTGGACTGGGTATATCCCGGTCACGCGGACTCAAATTTTCTGTCTAATTTTAATGTCTCAATTGATGTTTAACCAATCATATTATGCTACATCATATAAAAATTTGAGCTGCTTTTTAAGCAATCTTTTTGTGTTTATCATGAAATGATGTTGTATGATTTAATTAGTTAGACACCAATTGAGATACTAAAAATTAGAGAGAGAATCTAAAGGGTGTTTGATATGAGGATTCGTGCTATGGTTCGAATCATAATTCGTGGCTCGATACAATATTTTCTCTCATAAAAAATACACGTAAATCGAGAATAATTTTAAATCATGTTTCTAAATCCGTGAACTAAACGTCTGTTAAATTCCTATCACACTGAGAAAATGGACCCAATTAAAATTCACAGGTGGAACCCACTATGATGAGGATATACGGAGATACATCGTCCTCGTCAGGAAATAAGGGGTTTTTCATAAAGAAAAGATCTTCCACATGCACTTGGGACCAGCCTACACCGCAATAAAAACCTTACAAATTATTCGTGGACTACTAGTACGACATTAATCCTTTTCGTGTTCCCAACTGTATGAATTAAGTAGTTGACAAATTGGCGATCGAACTACATAATTCCTCAAAGGCAGTAAGTACGTCTGTTCTAGCTATAGTTTTTCAATCTATCATTATAATCACATGTAATCTGTCTTTTCACATTTTACACATGTGTAATGTTTCATGAGCTTAGATTTTTTTTATTTTATTATTATTATTTTTGAAGACTGGAAATTGTTTTGGTTTGCAAGCAACCTCCTAGCTAGGCCTTGTGAAGGGTTTGTCGTTTATAGTAGCTTGTTATTTAGTTTAATTTTGGTGCTTGGATAAAATAATATCCACACCAATTTGCTCGATCAACTTGAGAATAGGTAGATATATTCTTATAAGGGTTTAATATGCTTAATTAAACTAAAGTTGGACAAAAGGATCGGTGAAACTCATGTACAAATCGTCCAAGAACAAAAGAATACTTGATACAGTTAAGTTATCCAATATCAATACTATGATCGCAGAAAAAATGGGTTCCTCAATTTAACCCCATATAATTTACTGGAATAGAAAATTAAAACCTCGTATCTAAAAAGAAGAGGCAACGAGACCCAGAGTCTTCCTACCTTGTGTTAGGCACAGAATTCATTCACGTTACGAATTATTAAAAGGCAAAGGAACAAAAGAGAACCATATAGAGCAAAACGCCAACGAAAGTAGTTTCAGCTTTTCTTTCTTTCTTTCTTTTTGGCATGGGACAGTACTATTTATTATTAAAGTCTTGTGTACTCTTGAACCCCTTGCTACAGAATATGGGGTTGCGTGGTCAGCTCTTCAAACAGAGTTGAATTGGCTGCTCGGCGAGCGTCTTCAGAAGGCCATAAGGAGTTCCTGATTGAAAGTGATTCCAAAATAGCAGTAGAGGTCCTTACTGGTGTCATTACTTGTCCAGAATGGTGGTGTATTATTAGTAATGTTTATCAGATTTTAGATTTTTGTTAATACTTTAGCTTTATTTCCTTCAAGTGCATTCCTAGGACCACAAATGCTAGTTCTAACTCTCTATGTAAGTGGGCCCTTTCGATTAAGAGCAGTGGTTGCCCCTGATGTAGCATCCATCATTGGTGTTAATTGATACCTCGTTCACTTCGCAGATTCGAGTTTTCAATTCGAACTGAGATGTTACATTTTCTGAGAACTTTTTACTGTAGCAGAAAAAGTAGATGTGACATTTTCTGAGAGTTTTTTACTGTAAAAATCTAAAACTGAAAACTCGAATCGGTGAAGTGAACGGGGCGTAAAGCACTTCTTGTTTCAATAATTAAAAAAAAAAAAAAAATCTTGTGTACTCTTCTAATTGGCGTAACTAAAATTCAACTTTACTGCCAATATTGGCCCTTTTTGTTCTTGAACTGCCCTTCCGTTCTTAAACTTATAATTTTGTTAAATTACTTTACAAATTTTTGTTTTTTGATGGTTTTATTCCAGACATCAATTTTGACAAGATTTCTGAAATTTAACATGAATATAATTATATTTTTATATCCTTATAACTCAAAACTTTACTTAAAATGTAGCGCAAAATGCACTAGTTTTTAGTGGAATTTAATAGCAATGAAAAGAATATTTTGCACATAATATGATATAACTAGTTGCTATAATAATCCTTATTTTTGTGGAAAGTAGATCTAGGTTCTACCTAGTACTCACTTATTATTGAAATATATGTGACAGGAAAAAAAAGGTAAAAGCTCAGGTGGAGATCGAACCACGTGTCTTTCAATTTTCTGTAGGTCAGCGGATGCCAGCTTTAGGAGATGTAATACTCTTTATAGCCATAAAGATAAACGTGTTTTATATATTTATATATATATATATTATATATAATATAGGTAAAGTCTCCGAGTACGGTAGAGCGACACATATATTGAAATTGTTTATATAGGGTCCGTTTAGTTCGTTAATTTAAATTTTTAATTTGAGTTGAGATGTGATTTTATATGAGAGTTTTTTACTATAGTAAAAAAGTTAGATATAATTATTTGTGAGAGCTTTTTACTGTAATAAAACTTGAATTTTAAATTTGAATCAGCGAAATGAACGAGGCCTAAATATGCCACTTTGTTTGACTTCTGTTTCATGCGGGCGACACCTATATTGACATTGTTTATACAGCCTAGATTTGCCACTTTG